GGGCAATGGCGATTTGGGGGAAATAAATAGCAGTGGCAGCGCGGCGGGCGGGGTGGGGCGGGGCAGGGCGAGGCGCGAAGGAGGAGGGAGGAGGGGGGAACGAAACAATTTGGGATTTTTGGTCCCGCGGCGCGGCGGCGGGGGGATACGGGGAATTTGGCTGGAATGGTTGGCGGGAAGGCCAGGCGGCAGGCGATCTCGTCCGTGGATGGCTGCGGGTGCGGGAGTGGACGGTCGAGACACGGTTCGCTCGTTCCCGCCGCTGCACTCGAGTTTGGGTTTGGTTTCGGCAGCAGCCGCCCAGGCAGTGGCGCCTGTTTCGGCAGCAGGCGTGATTGGTTGATGGGGTGCGATGCTACTCGCTAGACATGAAAATTGGATTCCGTTTCGGTTTGGACACTACCATCTGTTGGTCGACCGATGCCGGCCAACGATCGGTCACCTGCCGAGCCGTTCGATCAGGCTGCCAGTGTCGCTCATCGCCATTCGCCATTCGCACCTCGTGTAGTCATCATGCACACAGTGTCGCTCGGTTGCCATCGCAACACTTGTGATCATTGTCGCCGATCCCTAGCACCAGTGCTCTGTCCCCCTTGACTCGTGCATGGCCGCTCCAGCTTCCAGCACCGCTCGATGCCATTCGCATAACATGGGGTCGCCGCTCGTAGTGCTAGTGGTCGTCATTTTCAGGCCTCCCTATATTGGAATGCCCTGATTTTTGCTCCTTTATCATTATCATTTTCACTGGATTTGGCTCTCGTCTTTTTCTTTCAGTGGTCATTGGACTTATCTTTGTTAGATGTTGCTACTCAGTGGCAATCCTTCTCCTATCCCACTTAGATATTCTTCACAAGATCCTTGCCACCAAAAATATTCTCCATATTGATTCTTGCCTCTCAAACCCTATTTCCAACTATTGAGGAATTAAGCCAATACAAAGGAACCTCAATTTACTTTAGATGGCAAAGTCTACTGAAATTCCCTGTGACTTTCATAACCCTACAAAGCTCTAGATATGCAAAAAGTATTGTATGTCTAGTGCAATATTTTCCATCTAAAAATATTTTCTTTTACTGCCATATGAAGGAATTAAATCCTCAAAAATGCTTATAGATCTCCAAATATTATGAAAATATTTGGAGATGGTCATTGCACGTATATTCACGTCTAGTATCAATATTGGATCAATTTAACCCCATGTTTCCTTCACAAATTCAATCTTCCATTTTTTGGCCCTTTTCCAAAGGAACTACCATATAATTTGTGTAGCTTAATATATCTATTACAAGCTCAAGATCCATGAAAACATGAGGCCGCCAAGTTCAACTTTTGAGTGTAGGTTCCATCTCAAGAATTCCCCTAATTTGAAGCCTTGTGAAGGAAGTATTATATAAACTTATCCATTTGATCTAAAAATTTGCCTTTCACTAAAGGCTAACGTGCGCTTCGCCGCGCCGTTCTTCACTCATGGAATCGAGTCGTTTTAGTTGGTTGTTTCATTTTGGTTTTATCTGCGTTTGCTTGGTTTTGAGGTCGTGTTTTCACCAGTATATCAGGTTGGGCGCTACTAAAGACGATATTTATTTCGAGAGGATAGTGGAGTTGTTCAGTGGATGGATGTGGTGCCCTTACACATTTTGGCCTCACTGTGTGAGCTGGTGATCGGTGTATGAGTCCCTTGGGGGCTCATATTCCACGATGAAAACGTGGAATTGTTGCCATAACTTTACATGACCAGGCCCACAAACCTCTCGCTCGCTCAACTCGCCTCCCTACTCCACTCGCCTGTTTAACATGTTTCCTGCTCGCACCATTTATCTCTACTACTTACAGAGAACGTAAGGTTTCCGTTTCACCCTCTTCTTCGTCCAACCTCTTTATATATGGTTCCCCTTTCCTTCTCCCGTTTGATTTTTTCTCCCATCTCTGATTTTTCTCTCAAATAATAATATTCTTTCAAAGTCAATAAATTCTAACCAAATAAGTGTTTAACAGTAAGATGACTTTTTTCTTTCCATCTCTGATCTTTCTCATAAATATTTTTTTTCTTTGGAAGTCAATAAATTATTACCAAATAAGCACTTAACAATAAGATGGTAGATAAATCATGGCAATTGCATGCAAAAACTTGCTAAGATTTTAGCGCACCAATGTAATAATAGACGTGCAATCACGGGTTAATTTAATAAATTTTTACACTCCTGTTGCAACGCACGGGCAATTATCTAGTCTTACAAAACATGTTCACGAATTTTTAAAATCTAAATGTTGAAAACTAAAACCATGAACTTTATAAAAAAATTGGGGGATTTAAAATTAATTTATGGATTTAAAAATATATTCAAAAATCTAAAATAAAGTTCTCAAACTTAAAATGTTCACGAACTTTTAAAATATTCATAAACTTGAAAAAAATCATGAATTTAAACAAGGTTCATGAGTTTTTAAAAATATTTGGGGATTCTAAAAAATATTCAAAAAAATCATAAATGTTCATGAATTATAATGTGAAAAAAGAAAATTAAAATAGGAAAGAGAAGAAAAAGAAAATTAATAAAAGGAAAAAAGCAAACAAGAAACTAAACCAACCACACACACCCTTGGGTGGGGGCCAGCGACCCCACTGCCCCAACGCAGCTCCAAATCTAGGAAGGCTCTAGTCTACGAAGCTTAGGGCATCTCCAACGGCAACCCGCAAAAAATCTTTCGCATCCGTCCGCGGACAAGCGGATCAGTCCGCGGACATGGATGCGGGAGGTAGCCATCCAACCGTAGCCGCATTCTGTCATCCAACAAATTCAAATTCAAATTTATTCTCATCCACACAACAAGCCGGATCACACTCGCGCCAGATCGCATCCCCGATCACAACCAAAATGAAGCAAATATGCTTAGTTTTTACATGTCCGAATCCAAAAGAACATCAGTCCGGCAGTCTATGCATTTCTGCCCTGCCGAACCGGCCATCCCAGCAAGATGTTTCCTGATCAAGGAGGTGTAGTCGCCACTGATGTCTACTATGCAAATTTATTCTTGTAGACTCATGTTGGCCTCCAAGCGCAGAGTTTTGTAAGACAGTAGCAATTTTTCCTCAAGTGGATGACCTAAGGTTATCAATCTGTGGAGGCGTAGGATGAAAATGGTCTCTCTCAAACAACCCTCAACCAAATAACAAAGAGTCTCTTGTGTCCCCAACACACCAAATACAATAGTAAATTGTATAGATGCACTAGTTCGGCGAATAGATGGTGATACAAGTGTAGTGATGATAGTAGATATTGATTTTTGTAATATGAGCAATAAAAAACAGCAAGGTAACAATTGATAAAACAGAGTACAAACGGTATTGTAATGCTTGAAAATGAGGGCTAGGGTCCGTACTTTCGCTAGTGCAATCTCTCAACAATGCTAATATAATTGGATCATATAATCATCCCTCAACGTGCGATGAAGAATCACTCTAAAGTTCCTATCTAGCGGAGAATATTAGAAGAAATTATTTATAGGGTACGAAACCACCTCAAAGTTATTCTTTCCGATCAATCTATCCTAGAGTTCGTACTAAAATAACACCAAGCTATTATTTTCGATTGATCTAACAAAGAGTTTGTACTAAAATAACACCATACAATACACATCAACCAACTCTAATGTCACCTAGATGCTCCAATTTCACCATGAGTAAAAGTGAGTTGATTATACGATATGCATCAAACAATTTCAGATTCATAATACTCAATACAACACAAAGAACCTCAAAGAGTGCCCAAAATTTCTACCGAAAAAACAAAGACAAAAACGTGCATCAACCCCTATGCATAGATTACCCCAATGTCACCTCGAGAATCCGCGAATTGAGTGCCAAAACATATATCAAGTGAATCAATATGATGCCCCATTGTCACCACGGGTATTCATAGCAAGACATACATAAAGTGTTCTCAAATCCATAAAAGAGTACTCAGTTTGATAAGACAAAATCTCAAAGGGAAAACTCAATTCACAACAAGATAGAGAGGGGAAAACACCATATGATCCCACTATGTTAACAAAGCCCGTGATACATCAAGATCGTGATATCTCAAGAACACGAGAGAAACAGATTAAACACATAGCTACTGGTACAAACCCTCAGCCCCAAGGGTGGACTACTCCCTCCTCGTCACGGTGGCCGCTGGGATGATGAAGATGGCCACCGGTGATGATTTCCCCCTCCGGTAGGGTGCCGAAACGGGGTCTAGATTGCTTTTTCGTGGCTATAGAGGCTTGCAACGGTGGAATTTCTGATCTATCGACTCCCCTTGGGTTTTTGGAATATTTGGAAATTTATAGTGCGAAGAGGCAGTGCGGGAGGCCACCGTGGTGGGCATAAACCACCAGGGAGCGTGTGGGCCCCCAAGCACGCCCAGGTGGGTTGTGCCCCCTCGGGGCACCCTTTTGGTACTTCTTTGGCCCAGGTTGTGTCTTCTAGTCCATAAAAAATCTTCAAAAAGTTTCGCTGCGTTTGTACTCCGTTTGGTATTGATTTTCTTCGATGCAAA